GTGCTACTAATGCCACGAAATAGTAATAATAGTGGGGGAAAGCTGGTCCCTTTGAATTGGCAGGATGACTAGGCAGCAATCTTCTGACCGAAGGAGCTGCCTGGCTGGATTCTGGCCGCAGCCAGAACTTCTTTGGCCCAGAAATGGAAGAAGCTGCAGCACTTAAATCTCCCCTGGTTGCCCAAGCACACTTGGGGTCTGGCTACTGCAGAGAAAATAACTGACAAATAGCAGAAAACCTGAATTGCCATCTGACCCGAAAGAGGGGTTTGGAATGGGTGAAGTTTTGAGAAGCGCTGCTCTATCTCTGCATCTCTCGCCTCTTGGGCTGACCTCACTAGTATCTCTTTGATGCTAGACTGATACATCCCAGGTTGGATCCTGCCTTAGCCCTTCCTCCTCCTCCTCCTCCTCCTCCTCTTCCCACTTCTCCCTGAGACCTCAAGGTGAGAAGTCAGGCTGGGACTCCCAAGGAAAGGAGAGGAGGCTGAGAGATCACTCCACAAGGGAGGGTGTTTGAGAAAAGGTGAGGGGCTGCCAGCTCTGCAAGGAAGGGGGGACCTAACTGAGATCCTGAGCCCCACAGGGCTGCCGCAGAAAGAAGGTAGTTGACCCATGGAGCCGTGGACCCCAAAAGGCTGAAACCCTCTGTGCTTTTATTTCCTCCAGGAAACTACTTTGCTATTCTAGCAAGGCCACTGGGCGCAAGAAGCCATTGTGATTTCCATCTCTCTGTGTGTCTCAATCAAAGCTGAGTTTTTCCTTTTCTCTTTAGGGAGAGATCTGTCACCGCCTGGAGATTCTGAGGAAAGAGAGAGGAAATTCTGGCCTATCGAGCAGATCTGGACAAGGAAAGCAAAGACCTCCTGGTAAGTGTCTCTATTGTTACTCGACAGGGAACAAGCACTTGAGACCTCCAGGTATAGGGCAGTATATAAATTCAATAGAGAAGAAGAGGAAGAGGAAGAAGAAGAAGAAGAAGAGAGTCAGGACTGAGGAGGGATGGAGAAATCTGCCCGTTTCAGCTTCTCCTCATTTCTCCTTTTTCCACATCAGTCTGTTATGAATCAGATGTTAGGGTAGCTACCTCCTTGTATAAATATTTTGATCTGTACTTTACCCTCATAAATACATTTTTTGTGAATATTACCTGGCTGGGTCCAGCTTGAAAATATCAGAATTTTAAAACTCTGTTTTGGTCTCCGTATTTTTTCAGCAAGAGCAAATTAGGTAAGTTCACCTTTGAATGCAGCTAAATTGAGTTTATTTCCCCTTGTCCTTTATTATGTGAATAGCAGTCAAGGAGAAGCTTGAGGACTTGTGAGCTGAAAGGGTGGAAGCAATTCAATCCAAATCCTGATTTACTATAAATATTACTAAAGAACTGAATTCTAAATGTGCTCTCTTGTTCATTTTTAGGAAACTCAGGCTTTTTTTAAACCTTTAAAGGAAACAGGGGAGCTCTGGGGATGAACTCTGCACTTTGTCCTCCTCTGTTTCTGTTTCTTCCTACACCTAAATGGCCCCAGTCTAAACTGAGGGGTGTTTTATGTCTCTGATGTTCTCTGAACAACTGTGAACTCTGGTTATGCCATGCCCCAAAACATGCAGGGATAATCCATGGCTAGGAAAAAAGAGCTCCTTCCTTTAGGCTGTATCCGTCTGCAAAATAGAAGTCAACAGAAACAGCAATGGAGAGGGCCTCCCCTCAAAATATAGGTTTACTTCTTTAGCCACTGGAGGTTTCATGTCTATAGAAAAATCAGAAGTGTCCTTCCTCCCTGTGGAATTCTCATAATTTTCTTTCTGCTGTTTCGAGGCTAAGCACATGTTACGGAAATTACGGGGGGGGCACATCTTTAAAGTTAAATATTACAAATATTATGCCTGAATATATCCTTCCAACTTGACAGCTCAGGAAAGTCACCTAGCTTTAAAAAATAATATAAAATCATCTCCTTTCCCAGTTCCCCCCATTCCAAAGCTATTTTCCCCTTGCAAAAGGACTCCAGGAAGTTCTCAGAGGTGACAATTGCTGGGCTCATTGTTAGCCAAGGGAAGCCAAATCTCATCACCGGACTCCCTCAGGCTCCAGACATGCAAAGGGACTTCTATTGTACTTTTGGGGAACTTAAGTGGGTACTTAAGACATATTTGTCTATGCTAATCTTATACCTGAGTCTTGCCCTGCCATGTCTGCTTATGCTAATCTTGTACCAAGGACTTGTCTGGACATGTTTGCCAAGGTTACCCCCTCCCCTTCGAACTGTATTCTGGGATGTGGTGGGAAAGTTTTAAAAGTCTTTGTCACCCCATCCTCAGGGTTCAAATTTGCTTTTGAACCTATTGCGCAATAAACTTTGGTCTACAGCTATTTGCTCCGCTTGGCTGGACTCCTTCCTTTATTCCGCAGGGACCCGCAGGCTATGCCCGACGAGCTGGGTGACTGAGCAGCCTCACACCTAGATTTTTCCCTAACAGCACCAAACACACTCAGACCTCCTCTTTTCTTGCAGAAATTAACAGAAACAGAGAGGCTGAAGATTGTGGAGAAGTTCAGAGAACTGCGCCAGTTCCTGGAAGAACAAGAAAAAGGTCTGCTGAATCATATGGAAGAGGTGGAGAAGGAGATTGCAGGGAGAAGGGATGAGCAGCTGGCCAGACTCTCCAGGAAACTCTCCTCTCTTGAGAGGATCATCCAGGAGATGGAGGAGAAGCGTCAGCAGCCAGCGAGTGAACTGCTGCAGGTAAGATGGTGGCAGGAACAGCCCAAGGCTCCAGGAAAAGGCTGCCTCCAATCCTTTATGTGTCCCTTTCATGTATGCAAGGAGTGCAGGGGCTCAGATGATGGAGCCTCTAGTCAGGTTTGTCATGGACAGGAAGACCCAAGAGACCTGGGATGCTTAACTCACCTGAATGCAGACTAGAGATTCTTCTGTGTTCTTGATGGAACAGGAGGTGGTTTTCTGCTCTTTGCTGATGATTTGTCTCCAAATGCCGCCTTCTTCTTGGCAATGCTGCCTTCCTGCCCTGGGCTGGGCTGGGCTTCAGCGAGGATGAGTTCAGGCCTCCTTCTGACATGAGCCAGTCTCTTGACCAAGCTTCTCTTCCAGTTCCCTCCACAACTTCTTGGTTGATCCCCTTCACAATGGATACAGAGCGGCCCAAAATGGTGCTCAGTCACAGTGACCAAAGAGCAAGACAGAGGGACTCATCCAGACTGCTGCTTCTCCCACACCTTTCCTCCAGGAAAACCTGCTCTCTACTGCTGAATGAGAGCAAACCTCAGCCAGGTTTTCTCCGGATTGACGTTTGCTTAGATGTTGAACTAAGGAGCAGGTTTTTCCTGAGGGAAAGCGGCAGGGCAAAGGCAAAACTACTTGGACCTGTGTTTTCTGGGCACAGGAAAAGCAGAAGTGTGGATGAGCCCAAAGAAACACTCAGCTATATAATAATAATAATTGTTGTTGTTTAGTCGTTCAGTCGTGTCCGACTCTTTGTGACCCCATGGACCAGAGCACGCCAGGCCCTCCTTTCTTCCACTGCCTCCTGCAGTTTGGTCAGACTCATGTTTGTAGCTTTGAGAACACCGTCCAACCATCTGGTCCTCTGTCGTCCCCTTCTCCTTGTGCCCTCCATCTTTCCCAACATCAGGGTCTTTTCCAGGGAGTCTTCTCTTCTCATGAGGTGGCCAAAGTATTGGAGCCTCAGCTTCACGATCTGTCCTTCCAGTGAGCACTCAGGGCTGATCTCCTTAAGAATGGATACGTTTGATCTTCTTGCAGTCCAAGGGACTCTCAAGAATCTCCTCCAGCACCATAATTCAAAAGCATCAATTCTTCGGCGATCAGCCTTTTTGATGGTCCAGCTCTCACTTCCATACATCACTACTGGGAAAACCATGGCTTTAACTATACGGACCTTTGTTGGTAAGGTGATGTCTCTGCTTTTTAAGATGCTGTCTAGGTTTGCCATCGCCTTTCTCCCAAGGAGCAGGCGTCTTTTAAATAATAATAATAATAATAATAATAATAATAATAATAATAATAAAATATATTTTTGTCCCGCCCATCTGCCTGGGTTACCCCAGCCACTCTGAGCGGCTTCCAACCAAATATTAAAAACAATACAGCATCAGACATTAAAAACGTCCCTAAGAAGGGCCGCCTTCAGTTTCCTTCTAAAAGTCAGATAGTTTTTTACTTCCTTGACATCTGATGGAAAGGTGTTCCACAGGGCTGGTGCCACTACCAAGAGGGCCCTCTGCCTGGTTCCCTGGAACCTCACTTCTTGCAAGGAGGGAACCTCAGTGTCCAGGCAGAACGATGGGGGTGGAGACGCTCCTTCAGGTACACTGGGCTGAGGCCATTTAGGGTTTGAAAGGTCAGCACCAACACTTTGAATTGTGCTCGGAAACGTACTGGGAGGTGCTTTATTACCCCTTTGGAGGCATTTTATGCTGCAGGTGCTTTTCTTATTTCCAGTTGGAAAGTAGAATTTGAAATTTGGGGACTTCTATGGAAGACAATTTGGGACAGTTCTCTGGTAGGATTATCCTGTAGGCTTACTTACGTCTGAATTGCACAATGCAAACTGGATTAAAGTTAATAAATTATAATCTAAGACAAGAGATGGGATGGAATCTTCTCCTGAACCCACAAATATTCAATTTCCCAAAAATGCTGGTGGATTTTCATAAGGATTCTTAAAAAATAATTGTAAACAGATGTGGAAATGTGGAGAACTTGATACTGGAAAAATTAATAATTTCAGACTGGAGAAATAAAAGCTGTGAGAAACCAAAACTGGCTGATTCAGCCATTCCTACCCAAAACCTTGGCATGTGCCAGGCAGACTGACATCCGAGGGCCAGGGTCTGAGGGGGTCTTCCTAGTGTGGCCTGTGGTGTGCAGTGAATTCCCTTCTCTTTCCCCCTCTAGGATGTGAGAAGCACCTTGCAGAGGTAAGTGGATCTGGCTCATTTCCATTAGCTTCACTCTTTGAAGCTGAGATGCAGGAACCTCAGACATGGCCCTCCAGGGGCTGCAGGGGGGAGACTGTAGGACTCACTCCCAGAGGAATCTCACAGGTAAAAGCAGGGGCCCCTCTTTGGAACTTGACAATGGGTAGATCACAGTTGGTCTTTTTATACTGTGAGTAGATCACAGTCTCTTGGGAGTTGGACGTGCCTGCCTTAGCTGTTTCCTTCTAGACTGACCAGTTCAGTCACTCTGCCGGCCACCCCACCCTGTCCCAAGCAAACTCCTGCCCCATAGAGCCCCTTGGGAGGGGGCGATTTCTCACCAAGGAGCAGGAATTGGCTATTTTCTTGACCATATTCCGGCTGCAGTATTTATATTGAAGGAATCACTCAGGTGCAGAGTAGAGGTTTGAAGGAACATTTCTTGTTTCCCAACAAAAGGGCATCTCTTTTTCTTCCTCTCCCCTTCTCTGGGGACATCTAGAGAAAGGACATGTGTGCTGTGCTCTCACCACCCTCAGACAATTCCTGCCCCTTGATACCATAGGATTCTGCTGCTGCTTTGAATAGACATCAGTGGGGAGACTCAGAGGCCTGGGGTTGCTGTTTTGGCCCTTGGGGGTCTGGCTGAGGAGTCCGTAGTGAGGAAGAAACTCCCCACTCAGCGCATGCCTGTCCCTCTAGGCCTCCTCCCAATTCCTTTCTTTTCCTTTAACAGAAATTGCAGATTTGAATGGGCTGACATTGTTCTTCTTTTCACCAGGTACGAGAAAAGAGAGAGTCCAGAGAAGCCACTGCCTTTCCCTCCAGAGCTGAGGAACAGGGTCTTGGAATCCTGTGATCTAAATCACCTTGTGGAGGATGCCATGAAACAATGGGAAGGTAATGGAAATTGGCTGCCAGGATTTCACACTGGGATTTCTATTATTTCTTCAGAACTGAACATGCCAGGCTCTTACTGCATGGAATTGCGTAACCCCAGGATACCTTCCTTCTTGGGGCTCCAGCCTTCATTTCCTGTCCCCCCAGAATGGCGCTGGATCCTGTAAAGGAAGCCTGAACCAGAGGGTATCTCTTTTCAATTCTACGGAACCTCCTTTTCCTTTTGGTTACCAGTCTACATAAATCTGGGGTTCTCCTTTGGGAGGTTCTCCTGCTCTGAATGGAGTCAATTCAAGGATGCTACATTATGAAGTGTTACTTTTGTATGGAGATTTATCTCAGGTGGAAGAGTAGTGTTGCCCTTACACGTTATATCTTTTTGCTTCCTCAGATGCTGTGTTATACAGAAAACAGACTCAGAAAGGTAAATTTCCAGGGGAGGAACAATTTGACAGGAGGGATGGGGACTGATATTTCATGGTGTTAAACCGTCTGTTCTGCAGACTTTGGGACCACCATCAATGGCGTCACTCTGGGAAACAGTCCTCTAGTGGTGTTTGGGTTCTTGGTCTGTCCCATGAATGAACTGGGAGAGGGTTTGAAGGCTTGGATTGGGGGCAGAGCTTGTCCCTGTGAAGAACCTGCACACCAGTCTGAGTTTCATTCCTGCCTATAGACTAGGATCCTGGTTTCACTCTCGATTTTATAGATTTTGCTTTCTTTCATAAAATCTGTATACTGCTTGTTTGTAGGGAAAACCCTCAGAGTCTTACAATATCTTACAAAACCTTAAGGAGGATCCTGCAGGGTCAGTCCAATGTCCATCTTGTCGCGTTCTCATGTATAAGGAATCTCCCTTGCATTTTGTTTTCCCTCCACACAATCTGCAGAGGTTCTTTGGGGGCTTTTGAGATCAGCCCCATTCCCGGCAGGAGGACTTCCCATTGCATGAGACCTTTGGAATTACAGGGTAAAGCTCTGCCGATTCTTCCTCTGGTTTGTCAGCATGCTTGGAAATTCCGGTTTCAACAGCTTTTCCCCACTAGTTCACTTGGCGCAGATAGAATCATAGAATCATAGAGTTGGAATAGACCACAAGGGCCATCGAGTCCAACCCCCTGCCAAGCAGGAAACACCATCAGAGCACTCCTGACATATGGTTGTCAAGCCTCTGCTTAAAGACCTCCAAAGAAGGAGACTCCACCACACTCCTTGGCAGCAAATTCCACTGTCGAACAGCTCTTACTGTCAGGAAGTTCTTCCTAATGTTGAGGTGGAATCTTCTTTCTTGTAGTTTGGATCCATTGCTCCGTGTCCGCTTCTCTGGAGCAGCAGAAAACAACCTTTCTCCCTCCTCTATGTGACATCCTTTTATATATTTGTACATGGCTATCATATCACCCCTTAACCTCCTCTTCTCCAGGCTAAACATGCCCAGCTCCCTTAGCCGTTCCTCATAAGGCATCGTTTCCAGGCCTTTGACCATTTTGGTTGCCCTCCTCTGGACACGTTCCAGTTTGTCAGTGTCCTTCTTGAACTGTGGTGCCCAGAACTGGACACAGTACTCCAGGTGAGGTCTGACCAGAGCAGAATACAGTGGCACTATTACTTCCCTTGATCTAGATGCTATACTCCTATTGATGCAGCCCAGAATTGCATTGGCTTTTTTAGCTGCCGCGTCACACTGTTGGCTCATGTCAAGTTTGTGGTCAACCAAGACTCCTAGATCCTTTTCACATGTACTGCTCTCAAGCCAGATGTTAACCTTCCTCCAGCCATTCAGTACAGATTCCCATTTCATTCATGGATTCTGAATGATTGTATTCCACCATTTTCTAGCATGGTTTACCATTTCTGATTTCCTCATGGAATCATGGAATAGTAGAGTTTGAAAGGATCCCAAGGGTCATCTAGTCCATGGGTAGGCAAACTAAGGCCCAGGAGCTGGATCTGGCCCAATCTCCTTCTAAATCTGGCCCGCGGACTGTCTGGGAATCATCGTGTTTTTACATAAGTAGAATGTGTCCTTTTATTTAAAATGCATCTCTGGGTTATTTGTGGGGCATAGGATTTTGTTATTGTTTTTTTTTTTCAAAATACAGTGGCACCTTGGGTTACAGATGCTTCAGGTTACAGACTCTGCTCACCCAGAAATAGTACCTCGGGTTAAGAACTTTGCTTCAGGATGAGAACAGAAATCGTGCTCTGGCAGCGCAGCAACAGCAGGAGGCCCCATGAGCTAAAGTGGTGTTTCAGGTTAAGAACAGTTTCAGGTTAAGAACGGACCTCCAGAACAAATTAAGTACTTAACCCGAGGTACCACTATATAGTCCTGCCCCCACAAGGTCTGAGGGACAGTGGACCGGCCCCCTGCTGAAAAAGTTTGCTGACCCCTGGTCTAGCCCAACCCCCTGCAATGCAGGGATCACAGCGAAACACGTTAGTTGTTTTAATTCCTTAGGCCTTTAGTTGTTATCTTTGCAAGTATTTGCTCTATGATGTCATCTTTTGCTTAAAATAAGGAAAGAACAGGTGCTTTACAAAAAATATATATATTCTTTTGAGCTATTGCAATGTAGCCTCTTAACCCTCTTTTTGCTTCCTCATATGTCCAGTCTTTCAGAAATCTCCGCGGAGGTAAAATTCACATGGAGACCCCAGTTCACAGGAGGGTGGGGACTAGTCTTTCATGGGGGGTGAAGAGTCTCTTCTGTGCAGCTAGACTCTAGCCCTGCTGCTGTTTGTGCCACAAAGGCAGAGAGGGTGGACTTGAAGGGGGGAGAGAAACTTCCCAGAAGGATCAGGCAGAGGAGGAGGGAAGAGTTTTACTCCTGGCTAGAGAGAGTTGGATCGCTTTTCCATCATCTGACCTTTTTCAGGTGGCCTGGTTGCCATGTGTCCTCTTTTTCCTGTCACATCCTCTATTTTCCTGATTAAAATTGTTGCCCGGGCGGATTTTTAAAATTTGGCATAATGTCCCAAGTTTTTTGGTTTGGTTTTTTGGTTTACATGAACGCACGGAATTTTTCTAGTGTATTAGACTCAGATCTAAGACACCTGGCTTAGCTAGTCTGCAGCAGAGAATCACAACAGAATGCCGTATTGGCCCGAATATAAGCCGCACCCACAAATAAGCCGCACCTTTAAAATTCAAGGGGGGGGGGAGAAAAAAAGATAATACCCAAATATAAGCCACTCCCTTAAAATTGGGTTACAGGCTGAAAATTGCTGCCACAGGTACAAGTGTAACTCCGAGCCAATTTAAGCCTTTGATCTTGCAAGCCCACAAAAGTTACCGTACAATCGCTAAAATCGCAAATCACTATTCAGCTGCTACAATGCCGCAGGCACTCACACCCGTAAATGGCAAATGAAGTCTCAAGCTCGCAAATCGGCAATAAAACTTTTTTTTGTTCCCTTTTACCGTATGTCTGTTTCAGCAGCAATATTGTAAAAGGCAGTTTTTGTAAGGTCGCAAATTTAAGCCACACTTTAACTTTTCAAGGTCAGAATTGGGGGGGGGAGTGCAGCTTATATTCGGACCAATATAATAATAATAATAATAATAATAATAATAATAATAATGCACCGTTTCTAATAAGGCTGCACCTAAGATAGCTCAGCGGGACGCAGGTGGCGCTGTGGGTTAAAGCCTCAGCACCTAGGACTTGCCGATCGAAAGGTCGGCGGTTCGAATCCCTGCGGCGGGGTGCGCTCCTGTCGTTCGGTCCCAGCGCCTGCCAACCTAGCAGTTCGAAAGCACCCCCGGGTGCAAGTAGATAAATAGGGACCGCTTACTAGCGGGAAGGTAAACGGTGTTTCCGTGTGCGGCTCTGGCTCGCCAGAGCAGCGATGTCACGCTGGCCACGTGACCCGGAAGTGTCTCCGGACAGCACTGGCTCCCGGCCTATAGAGTGAGATGAGCGCACAACCCTAGAGTCTGGCAAGACTGGCCCGTACGGGCAGGGGTACCTTTACCTTTTAAGATAGCTCAGATGGCAGAGCATGAGACTCTGAATCTCAGGGACGTGGGTTCCAGCCCCATGTCGGGTGAAAAATTCCTGCATTGCAGGGGGTTGGACTAGATGACCCTCGGGTCCCTTCCAATGCTGCGATTCTGCAAGGATTTGTGCAGCTGAAGAGTTAAACCCACAGAGCTGCAATGGCTAGAGTTGCAGGAGGGAGGCAGGCTTGTGAAAGCCAGGAAGGGTTTTTCCTCCCTGGTTAGGGGGTGGGCCTTGGTTTTGAATTTCTTTTGCAGCTGGCATAAAAGGAGGAGGAAAGAAGGAGAGGAGGAGAAGACAGGAGGACAGTGTGCTAGACTGGGGCATGGAGGCGGAGAGGCAGGGAATTGCTGGAGGAGGAAAAAAGACCCTCTTTGCAATTGCTCTCCCTCCTCTGGGTAGCAGGCAGGGGTCTCTCTGCTGCTGGTTTCCCCCTTCCAGAAGAAGCAAACTCTTTGAGCAAGCTGGGTCAAAGGGTACGTGGACAGCGCTTTTCTATGGGGTACAGGGGAGGGGCGGTAGAACAGGGGGACGGCATGGGGCAGGGAGCCTCCTAAAACGAAGGGGGCCTGCCTGCTTGAGCCTCCTACAATTCCTGGGTGATGGGGGGGGGGGGGCTTCTGCAGAGCATCGGAGACCAAAGCGCATAGCAGCGTATCGTTAACCTCTGGAACTCCCCTCCACAGGAGATAATAATAATAATAATAATAATAATAATAATAATAATAATTTATACCCCGCCCTCCCCAGCCAAGACCGGTCTCAGGGCAGCTAACACCCAATATAAAAACAAATACAATTTAAAAACAAGGAGTTCCTGAAGACAATGGAGTCTCCTCTGCCCGGATCGGGCGGCCCCATGGGACGATGCCAAGGGCTTTCTGGCCTCCTTTGAGCGGGTGGCCCAAGGGAGAGTGGGCGGCCAGGCTGCTGCCAGCCCTCCGAGGAGGGGCCGAGTGGGCCTTTGGCAGCCTGGAGGCCAGCGACAGAGAGGATTATGGGGAAGTGAAGGCGGCCATCTTGCGCGGGGACACCACCGCCCAGGAGAAGCAGCGGCAGCAGCACTTCCGCCGCTTCTGCTACCAGGAGGCCGAGGGGCGAGGCCTATGGCCGCCTCCAGGAGCTCTGCCGTGGGTGGTTAAAAGTGGACCGGCACACCAAGGAGCAGGTTCTGGAACTGCTGATCCTGGAGCAGTTCCTGGCTATCCTGCCGCCCGAGGTCCAGGGCTGGGTCAGGGAGGCCGGGCCTGAGAGCTGCTCCCAGGCAGTGGCCCTGGCCGAGGAAGACCTCCAGGCGCAACGGGAAGCTGAGGGGCAGGAGCTCACATGCGCCTTGGGGCTGTGTTGCTGGGGGGCTCCTGGGGGGCTGATCCTGCCACTCCCTGGGTTGTTAACCAAGAGAGCGAAGCCTGTCCGTTTCATGCTGATTAAGGAGGGGAAGTCCAATTCTATGCCCCTAGCTCACTCAGGGAAACACTTAATCTCAGGGTTGCGGGTTCAAGTCCCGTTTGGGGGCAAAAGATTCCTGCGTTGCAGGGGGTTGGACTAGATGACCCTCAGGATCCCTTCCAACTCTATGATTCCTGTGCTCTTCTAGGCATACTCCCCAAGTGTCCCTTGTCTCCAATGACAGTTCTGGAATTATGAAAGCCATCCCAGCTTCTGATTTGATCCTGGACTATCCCTAATTCCGCTGCCAGTGCCAATATCGGGGAATAGTATGAGCTGGCCCTTGTCCCAAGCCATGGCGGCTGCGGCGGCTGTGAGAGGGCATCCTGTTGCCTCTCCATGGCCTCTCCACGGCCGCTGCTACCAGCTTCCTCCCTTGGGCAGCTGCTAGTGGCTTGCTAGATAGCGGGTGGGGAGGAGAGGCCACCACCATTAAGGCCCTGTTTGACGCGCCAGCTCTGAGGGGGAGGCAGAGGACAAGAAGAAAGAAAGAAAGAAAGATTTAGCTGGGAAAGAAGAAAGGGGGAGTGGAGCAGAGCACAAGGAATCTTGATTTTTGGACAGGGAAACCTCAGTTTTCGAGCGTATCGGATGCTGAACGATTCGGAACCCGAACGCCGAAAACTCGGAAGCAATTCTTTGCGTTTCAAAGTCAAACGGCTTCCGAGTCACATTTCTCCATTTTTTCAAGGGATTTCACGCCCATTGCGCCTCGGCTGTCGAACGTTTTGGAAGTCGAACGGTCTTCAGGAACGGATTACGTTTCAAAAACTGCTGTATTTGAAAAAAGTGATTTGTGCGTCTGCATCTAATCTTGCCCCTTTCTAAAATGTATTCATTGGCGTGTGCTTCTCTTTTTGTCAATTGACCAAAAAAGAAAGCCGGGGTGAAGGGTTTTTCTCAGGAGGGCGTTTGTGCTGCATCCCCTTGGTGTGGTCGTGGTGGGAATGCTCTGCTGGGATGGGTTGGGGAACAAAAATGGGGGTTGGGGATGAGGAGGGTCAGTTGAGTGGGGAGTGACAAATGCCCCTCTTTTCATCTAAGGAACGTTGGAGGGTATGGCTGGGTGATGGCTTCAGGGTGGGGTTTGAGGGAGGCTCTGGGTTTTCCGCCCAGGCCTCTCCCTCCTTGCCCTGTTGCTCTGTCCTGACAGGGTTCCTTCCTGATGTTGCAGGTGGGATTTGAGGAGGCCGCCGCAGATGTCTCTGAGGAAGTGCCGTCCGCAGATGTCGAACAGAGGCCCCTATACGTGGAGGCCAAGCAGGAAGGTGCAAGCGAGGCCCAACTGGCAGGGAAGTAGGGCCGGATTTAGAGTCGTGCCCCCTGGATCATGCACCTTCATTGTATTGCTCCCATCACAGGCTGAAGACACCACCACTTTGGCTTCGCGTGTGCAGAGGAGGGCAACTAGGATGATCTAGAAGCTAAGCCTTGTGAGGAACGGTTGAAGGAGCTGGGGATGTTTAGCCTGCAAAAGAGGAGACTGAGAGGAGATATGGTAGCCATCTTCAAAGATGGCTGTCACATGGAGGATGGAGCAAGCTTGTTTCCTCCTGCTCTGGAAGGTAGGATTCAAACCAGTGGCTTCAAGTTGCAGGAAAGGAGTTGGATGGGCATCTGCCATGGATGCTTGAGCTGAGATTCCTGCCTTGCAGGGGGTTGGACTAGATGACCCTCGGTCCCTTACAACTCTATGATTCTATGATCCAAGAGACACGTTTTTCAGGTCACAGCAGATCGCTGTGACTGTAAATTGTTTTGAACTGCTTTTAGCATTGATTTTTTCCCCCTTTATCACGGTCCAGAGACCCAACAAATTGTTACAAAGCAATGCACAATTCAGACAGCCTACCTCCAGGTTAAACAAGCATTTTGTTCAGACTTAAAGACAGGGATCATTGGTTCTTGCAACCACCGATAAAACTTGGCCACTGCTAATGTTCTAGCGTTTGTCCGGTCTTCCAATAGGAACCTGACATAATGAGCCTCTGATTTTCCCAGGAAAGGTACCAGCAAGGGTAATATCAGTTCAGCCTTGGCTTGCTCATGTTTCGCAGCAAAATATGTTTTATAGAATCGATGTCTTGAGCACATGAGCAAAGTCTGTCCTGGTAGGGAACTCCTCTCAACCTGCCATCCAACACTGCAGAAGGAAAGACGTTTAGTCTGGCTTTGGTGAACAACCTTAGATAATTTGGTACTGAATTTTAAATTTTCTGTAGTCCAACATTTAAATTGTAGACCGCCTTTTTCTGTGATGTAGGTATGATGTATGGACGGGTAGTCTTGAGTGACAGGGCAGGGAATTTAAAATGTCTATATAAGGCCTTGCGCACCATTGTTCTGGGTTCCCTATTAGGGACTTTGTCTTCTTTCCATCTCTGGGCCAGTAACAACCGGGTGGCTGTCGTCGCATACATAAAAAGTATTTTCTGCTCCCTTGGAATATCGGCACCTACAATTCCTAATAGAAAAACCTCTGCTCCCCCCCCAAGTTAATTTAAACATTTAAATTGTGCCATTGCTGGGATTCTTTGGTGTCAACATCTCCTCTCTCGACTCCTTCCAGGCTTACCTGGAGTTCTTCACCTCCAGCGAGAACATCAGAGCCCTCGAAGAACTACGGCCAGCGAGTGAATTACCACATTGTCAATGTCAAGGTGCGTCCTTCCTCAGTGCCAGATTACCAAACAGACAGACTGGGCACTGGCCTACGAGCCTAGGGGCCCCTCAACAACGGATCCAAAATAATATTGATTGGCATGGTTGGCCAATTGGTGTCAAGGAAGGACAGGATGTTTTTTATGTATGCTACCACAGCAGCAAGGGTTCTTTTAGCAAAGTATTGGAAGACACAAGAACTACCCACGCTGGAAGAATGGCAGACGAAGGTGATTGATTATATGGGACTGGCGGAGATGACTGGCAGAATCCGTGATCAAGGAAAAGAGTCGGCGGAAGAAGATTGGAAGAAATTTAAAGTATATCTTAAGAACTGTTGTAAAATTAATGACTGCTAAAATGCCATGGGTAAAGAAACAATATAGAAGTACAGCTGTAAATGATTAAGTAAGAGAAGAAGGGGAAAAAAATAAAGAAAATGAGTAATCAGTTAATTGAAGTGAGGGGTTGCTGAAGAAATTTTAAAATAGGGATGCAGAAAGGGGAGGCATGGGGAAGTCGGGGAAGTAAGATTTATGAAAAAGAGGTTTTGAAATTATACGTTGTCAGGGGTTCAGGGACAGAGGCCACAGGTGAGGGGGGAGACGGAGAGCGATGGGGAAGAATCTCAGGAGAGTGAGGAAGAGGATGACAATGACTTGAGGTCTTCCATGAGTCTCTCAAGTGAATCGGAGGATTCCCAGAAGGGGGCGCCCCTGGTCAGGCCAAGGGGGGTCACAGGGGGGACTTGCCAGGAGCAGGGAAGCAGCAGGGAAACCCGAGTGGGAGTGGGAGATCGGGGCCGGCTTGCCAGCAGGAACGGAGTGAAGAGGGGGGAGTTCCCAGTGGGACACACGGAGCAAAGCACGAAGGAGGGGGGAGCAGGCATCTGAGGAATCCGCTTCAGGGGAAAGCAGGAGGGAAGGAACCCAGGGGGGCAGAAAGACCCTGCGGAAAAGGAAAGACAGAAAGAGGTGGACCAGCACAAGCCTCTTAAACTGGTGTAGGGGCGGGACCGATTCAGAGGGGACTTCAAATGTCTAAGGTTAACAGACGTGGGGCCGCGCGCCTCGGTTGTGGAACTATTAATGAACTGCAATAAACATCCTTGTATATAAGAAGATCTTGGCGTTGGTCTTTTGTGAGCTGAGACCTGAGGCAGCCTCTGACATACGTGTTTATATGTTTGTTTGTCTATGTATTGTGTTTTGTATTGTTTTTAATTTATGTTGGAAAATTAATAAAATTTTATGGAAAAAACAAAAAAACAACAAAATAATATTGATTTGATCTTGGAAGAAAATTGGGAAATAATTTGTGAGGGGGCCTGCGAGATTCTGACTGCCTAGGAGCCTCCACTGGGTTTAATCCGACCCTGGTCCTTCCTCTGGTAGGCTGGCAGTGAAAACGTTTCCGTGGAAACTTGGGATGCTTGGACTGAGAGCGTATGTGGGGAGCAAACCCTCTGCTTGTGATCTCTGGAGAATATTTTAAGAAACAATTGGCATTGGGTTCATGGCTCCTCCTTGTGGCATATCGTTCCCTGGAGGAGTTTTCTGGATGCAGGGAATAATAATAATAATAATAATAATAATAATAATAATAATAATAATTTATTATTTATACGCCACCCCATCTGGCTGGGTTTCCCCAGCCACTCCGGGCGGCTTCCAACAGAACGCTAAAATACAATAACCTATTAAACATTAAAAGCTTCCCTAAACAGGGCTGCCTTCAGATGTCTTCTAAAAGTTTGGTAGTTTTTTTTCTCTTTGACATCTGGCGGGAGGGCGTTCCACAGGGCAGGCGCCACTACCGAGAAGGCCCTCTGCCTGGTTCCCTGTAACTTGGCTTCTCATTGCAAGGGAACCGCCAGAAGGCCCTTGGCGCTTGGACCTCAGTGTCCAGGCAGAACAATGGAGGTGGAGATGCTCCTTCAGGTATACTGGACCGAGGCCTCTTCAGTTGGGCCTGAGATCTGTAAAAAAGAAAAAGAAAAAAGGTAAAGGACCCGTGGATGGTTAAGTCCAGTCAAAGGCGACTATGGGTTGCGGAGCTCATCTCGCTTTCAGGCCGAGGGAGCCGGTATTTGTCCGCAGACAGCTTTCCGGGTCATGTGGCCTGCAGGAATAAACCGCTACTGGCGCAACGGGACACCGTGACGGAAACCAGAGCGCACAGAAACGCCGTTTACCTTCCCGCCGCAGCAGTACCTATTTATCTACTTGCACTGGGGTGCTTTCGAACTGCTCGGTTGGCAGGAGCTGGGCCCGAGCAACGGGAGCTCACCCCGTGGCGGGGATTCGAACCGCTGACCTTCTGATCGGCAAGCCCAAGAGGCTCAATGGTTTAGACCACAGCGCCACCCGTGTCTTGAGATCTGTACAGGCCTAGCAGCAAGTTAACAGGTGTATACAAAACCGTGATGCAGCTGTTTCCCTCTCTTCCTTCTAAACAACCTCCTGTTTCCCGTCGGTAGGGTGAGAACATCACCAACGCGCATGAAATGCAACCCAACGCCGTAACGTGGGGCATCTTCCCCGGCAGAGAGATCATTCAGCCGACGGTTGTAGACCCGGTTAGCTTCATGTACTGGAAGGTAAGAGGGTTATTGTTCCCTGCCCTGCCCCAAACACCCAGGAAACTCTTAGCCTGTTGGTACAGATCTGGGGCTTTGGTACATTTCCGTGGAAAATGTATGTGGACAGAAGTACAAGGTGCCAATTACTATTCCCTAGAACTTGTGGTACCGGGGTACCTCTGCTCCTCTAATAACAACTTGGGGGTAGAACCTCCACTTTTGCCTGCACAGGTTCAGTGAACTCATAGGTCTGTATCAAGTCATAAGAACATAAGAACCCGCTGGATCAGAGCAGTGGCCCATCGATGATGATGGTGGTGGTGGATAGGCAAACTAAGGCCCGGGGGCCGGATCCGGCCCAATTGCCTTCTAAATCCGGCCCATGGATGGTCCAGGAATCAGTGTGTTTTTACATGAGTAGAATGTGTCCTTTTCTTTAAAATGCATCTAGGTTATTTGTGGGGCATAGGAATTCATTCATTCCCCCCCCCCCAAAAAAATATAGTTCAGCCCCCCAAAAAGTTTCAGGGACAGTAGACTGGCCCCCTGCTGAAAAAGTTTGCTGACCCCTGATAATGATGACTGACTGATTGATTGATTGATTGATTGATTGATTGAGTTTATATACCGCCCTATACCCGGAGGTCTCAGGGTGGTTCACAGACAAATATAATCAGAATAAAAACAACCACCCAATAATACCCTACTCAGAAAAGAGCCACATTTTAAAAGGGTATAGGATAAGGTTACCAGACGTCCCCGTTTTCCTGTGGACAGTCCCCAGATTTACAAATCAGTCCCCTGACAAAATCGTATCATTCCTATTGAAATTGAAAAGTGTCCCCAGATTCATTGAAAAAAATCTGGTAACCTTAGTATAGGATATTAAACAGATCAGCCAAAGGCCTGGTTAAAAAGGAACATTTTTGCCTGGCACTGGAAGGTGTGTAATGAAGGCGCCAGGCGAACTTCCCTGGGGAGAGCATTCCACAGACGGGGAGCCACTGCAGAGAAGGCCCGGTTCTCGTGTTGCCACCCTCTGGACCTCTCAAGGAGGAGGCGCACAAAGGAGAGCCTCAGAAGATGATCTCAGGGTCAGGGTAGGTTCATATGGTCACATCTAGTCACATTGGCTAAGCAGGGGCCTTTTCTGAATGCTAAGGGCCATAGCTCAGGGGTAGAGCATATGCTTTGGATGCAGGAGGGGCTCAGGTTCATTTCTCAGCACCTCCAGGTAGAGCTGGCAAATGTCCCTGTTTATGCAACACTGGGGAGCTGCTGCCAGTTAGTGGAGGCAGTGCTGAGCGTGACAGACCAAATAGTCTGGCTCTGTCTAAGGCAGTTTCTTCTGCCTGTAGCTCAGCGCAAGGGTATCTGCTTTGCACGCAGAATGCCCCGAGTTCAGTCTCTGGCATCTCCGGGTAGAACTGGGGGAGAACCCAGCCTGAAACCCTGGAGAGCCACTGCTGGCCATAGCAGGCAACACTGAGCGAGTTGCGCCGATAAGTCTGAGTCTGCATAATGCAGCCTCTTCCAGACGCTCATTCCCTGAGATCATCCTCCGAGACCCTCCTTCGTGTGCCTCCTCCTTGAGAGGTCTGGAGGGTCGCAACACGAGAACGGGGCCTTTACTGCAGTGGCTCCCCATCCATGGAATGCTCTCCCCAGGCAAGTTCGCCTGGTGCCTTCATTTTTTAAAAAAAAAAAAATTATTCATTTTTCATTTTCGTTCATTACATACATCTCAAATTCTCAAAGACTTCCCCCAACTTTTTTGGTTTATTTCTATTTTTACCCACTTTGCTATAATTATCCACCTTTAGGTGCCAAGCAGAAACGTTCCTTTTTAGTGCAGGCCCTTGGTTGATCCGATTTGCATCCTAGGCCCTTTTAAAATGTTTTTGTTTTTTTATTATGTATTTTGTGATTTTATATCTTGATTTTATTCTGTGGACCACCCTGAGACCCCCGGGTATAGGGTGGTATATAAATTCAATAAATAATAATAATAATAATTCGTTTCCCATAGTTCCTCCTGCACTCCCACCCCCACCTCAAATTGTTTTTAAGTGTGACCTGCTTCTCTCTCTCTGCCCCCCTCGGACAGGATGAGGCCTTTGCCCTGTGGATTGAGCAGTGGGCCAAGCTGTACGAAGAGGAGTCCCCCTCTCGCATGATCCTCCAGTACATGCACGACAACTATTACCTGGTCAACTTGGTGGACAACGACTTCCCCCTGGACAGCTGCCTCTGGCAGGTCTTGGAAGACATGCACACGCTCTTGAACTGTCCGGCGGAACCTTGAAAGTTGAGAAAAGGCACGCAGCCTCCCAGATTTGGCTGGCAGCATAGTCAAAAACCTTAGGGATGCGAGGTTGGAACCACAGTGGCCCAGACACTCCTCTAGGGGGCGCCGTTGGCTGAATTTCCCCCCATTGCCTTCAAAGCGGGAGGCCGGTTAAGACAGGCACATCTCCCTTCTGATCCAAAAGACTCTGAGGATGTTTTCGAGCCCTTCTTGGGTTATTACAATCCCTTTTCCCCTTATACTAATGGCAGCTAGAAATCCTTATCCCCACCCCAACCCCAAATCTCTGTCTGGCCCCACCCCCCATGTTTCTGGGTTGCACTCTAAAAAAGAAAGCTTTCAGCTGCTGCTTCAGTGCGCACCCTCTGATCAATGGGACTGATGGCTTCACAAGCCTCTAGTTCAGAACGGGAGTTGCAGAAAATCAGGATGAGCACAGCCGCCTGCGACGCACCTGCCCTCCTCTGGGGAGCCACAGTGTGTGGCCGGCTATTTATTTTGTTTTTATTTTATTATAAAGGCGCAGGATCGTGGTCTTCTTCCTGCGTCTTCTCGTTTTCTCTTGCAGGGGAGGGGGAAGTATTTAAAATGCTTGTAAAGGGAAGGAGAGAAGTGAAATTGAAATGAAATAAAATGTAGTTGATGCCTACGTTGACTTGCCTTTTAAAAAAGAACGAGAGGAAGAGCTTGGGACTTACTAGGGACTCACGTTGTAGTAGTGTGGCTGGGCACAGCATGGTGAATGCAGGGAGTTATGGTAACGTGGTCCCCCCAAAAAAATCACCCATGGCTGGTGTCCATTGGGACTTGTGGGGCAGAAACACATGGGCGCCGGGCGCCATTTTGCAACAAGATGGTGGACAGAAGAATCACTTTTGCATGGCTTAGGCCTGTTCGGGGGCACAGGTTCAGCGGCATCTTGAGATAATACAAGAGTTCCTGAGGATTGACGTCAATGTTTGGGTGCCTTTTTGAACCAACATGCCAGATGACTTCAGCACGACTTTGCCTGATTTTTGGGGTGGCTGGTCCAAACTCACAAATGATGCTATCCGTTTATAAACACATCTCTTTTTGTTTGTTTTTTAAAAATTCCAAGCACTTCGTGCTAGTCTGTAATAATCCGTTTTGAGGCTTAGGGTATATAAACTTCATGAAATATAAATAAAATAAGAAGGGCTATAAACTTTTTTTAAAAAAAATGTTTTATTTTGTTTTTAAACATTCTTATACATTCACATCATTTTCAATTTCTACACTTCAGTGATCGCTTAGATCCCTTGGACTCTGCCCCCCCCCATCTAATTACATTTTTCTAATCCATTTTTTACCTTTTTTTTGTAAAAAAAGGTAAAGAATGCCTGACAGTTAAGTCCAGTTGTAGACAACTCTGGGGTTGCGATGCTCATCTCGCTTTACTGGCCGAGGGAGCCGATCTTTGTCCGCAGTTTTTCCGGGTCATGTGGCCAGCATGACTAAGCAGCTTCTGGCGAAACCAGAGCAGCACACGGAAATGCCGTTTACCTTCCCGCTGGAGCGGTACCTTTTTATCTACTTGCACTTTTGGGTGTGCTTTCGAACCGCTAGGTTGGCAGGAGCTGAGACCGAACAACGGGAGCTCACCCCGTGGTGGGGATTCGAACCACCGACCTGATCGGCAAGCCCAAAAGGCTCAGTGGTTTAGACCACAGCACCACCCGCCTTAGCTTGGCTATAAACTTTTTCTTTCAACCTGAATGGAAGCCGAAAGTCTCAGCGCCCTCAAAATACGTGATGTCTGTTACATTGCATTATTGAGTATTAACCCAAATTTTGCACAATCCTTTGTCTTCCAGGTGCAGTCTCCCTCTGGCCCTTCTTTTAAGGTCCTTTTGGGATTTGCCAACCCAACAGTTCAAAAGCACGCCAGCGCAAGTAGATAAATAGGTACCGCTCCGGCGGGAAGGTAAACGGCGGTTCCGTGCACTCTGGTTTCCATCACGGTGTCCTGTTGCACCAGAAGCAGTTTATCTTGTGCTGTATTCACCACCCTCTGTAGGCACCTCCTATCAGTTGATGTCAAACCAACGTACCACACCATGTTGCAGTATGAAAGGACAATCAAATGTTGATTGACATCGTTCTTTCGCAATGCACTGAGGAGATGGAGTCTCCGTTGGGCCTTCTTAACCAGCTGGGTTATATTGATTTTCCAAGTAAGGTCTTCACTGAGATAAACTCCCAGGAATTTAAAGGAAGAGACTCTCTCCATACAGCCCTCCCCAATGTACAGCTGGCCTAGTTCTCTCTTCCTCCGAAAGTCCAACACTATCTCCTTTGTCTTGCTTAAGCGCACAAATAAGACCAGGGCACAAGACCACTGTTATGTAGTGTAGTTTCACCCTGGGCCAACAGGGGGATACTGTATATAGTTTTCACTCAGGTCTGTAGATAGTTTTCACTCAGGTCCGCGGCAGTTATTTTAGGCGGGAACTCTGGGCTGTTGTGGTTACAATGTTGACAGCCGGCTGCCTATAAATACAGGCCGGCTGAGCTGTCGCAGTCAGTTGTATTCCAGCTTACCATAATAAAGAGCTACTTGAAGAAATCGCTGTGCCGGCTGCTATGTCAACCCACGACTTAACACTCCCCTCCCCACCGAGATAAGGCGTTAGTTACAATCGTAATGGTTTCCTTATATACAGCACTACGCGTAATGGTTCAATTAGGCACAAAAGCATATCGGTTACATTTCCCATACTTAGACCAACAGTGATACCTGTCCAACAACATAGTCCTTTAAATAAGTTGGGCGCTTGGAAACTCTGCCAGACCGCCGGGAACTGGTAGCCAAGTCCGGAGGGCCACACAGTTCTCGCTGAGGCTGTGGTGCGACCCTAGGTGGCGTTGGAACCAACTCCCCTGGATCCGCTGCTGTGGGTGGAGCCTCCGCAAGTGGAGTGGTCTGAGTCTGTTCTGAAACGGCTTGGTTCGGCTCCATGCTGGCAGTTTGCGAGGGAGGTGTAGGTGGGGCCTCGCCATCTGTACGTGTCTCTTCTGGAGCCGCAAACGCAGTTGGGGGCACCTCGGTAGTGTCCAAGTCCCCAACCCTGCGCCTAAGCTGGTCTATGTGCCGTCGCCACAAGCGTCCGTCTTCGAGTGCCACCTGGTACGAGCGAGGTCCAGTGACTCCCACTACTGTGGCTGGCACCCAAGGGATGTCCCCCACATAGTTCCGGGCAAAGACCTGGTTTCCTGGGACAAATGACCGTGGTGCGTTGGCACAGCCTGGGGGTTCAGCCACGGCAAAGTCTGGGTGTAGCCGGTCGAGCGGTGACCTGAGGCGGCGGCCCATAAGCAGTTCAGCAGGACTCCTCCCTGTGGCCGCATGAGGGGTGATGTGTTGCACGAACAAGTATTCGGCGACCCGCTCATGCCAGTCTCCCCGGTCCAGGCGCGCCAGTGCCTCTTTTGTCGAGCGCACCATTCTTTCCGCTTGCCCGTTGCTGGATGGATGAAAGGGTGCCGTTAGGGCATGGCGGATGCCCAGTCCCAAAAGATACCGCTCAAACGTGCCTGACGTGAACTGCGGTCCGTTGTCAGAGACAAGGACATCAGGACACCCATGCGTTGCAAACAGGCCTCGCAGCACCCGGATGACAGCTTCGGTAGTGGTGGAGGGCATCAGGGCGACCTCCAGCCATTTGGAATAGGCGTCCACCACTACCATAAAGGTCCGGCCGTGAAAGGGGCCAGCCAGATCGATGTGCACCCTCGACCAGGGTGTCTTTGGCGTCTCCCAGGTGTGTCCCTTAGCTGCCGGTGGTGCAGGCCTCGACTCCTGGCACGCTTGACAGGCGGACACCCAGGCAGTGATGGCATCGTCCATATTAGGCCACCAGACGTAACACCGAGCCAACACCTTCATTTTGACAATTCCCGGGTGGCCAACGTGCAGAGCCTCCAGGACGCGCTGACGGAGTCCCTGGGGAATCACGACGCGGTCTCCCCACAGCAGGCAGCCACGATGAGCTGAGAGTTCATGTTGTCTGGTTGCGAAGGGCTGGAACTCTGATGCAAAAGGCCCTTGTGGCCACCCCCTCCACACCCAGTTGAGCACCCGGCTGATGGTGCGATCCTGGGCAGATGCGGAGGCCACAGTGGCAGCCGATACAGGCGCTGCCGGAAGATCCTCAATCAGAAGGAGCGATGAAGCTGGAGCCGGGTCTTCCACAAATGCTGGAAGAGGGCAACGGCTGAGGGCGTCGGCATGGCCCATCGATTTCCCCGGGCGATGGATGAGCCGGTAGTGGTAGGCAGCCAGGAAAACAGTCCATCGCAGCATGCGTGGTGAGAGGACCGGTGGAGTTGGACGATCACCGGCGAGGAGGCCCAGGAGTGGCTTGTGGTCAGTGATGAGGTCAAAAGTCCTGCCATAGAGGTATTCATGGAACCTCTTCACTCCAGCCACAAGTGCCAATGCCTCCTTGTCGAGCTGGCTGTAATTCCGTTCCGTCGGAGATAGTGTCCTGGAAAAGTAGGCGAGCGGTGCTTCTCTTCCATCTGGAAAACGGTGACTAAGGACAGCACCGATGCCAAAAGGTGAGGCGTCGCAGGCAAGGACCAGCGGCCTGGATTCACTGTACTGTACCAGCACACTGTCTGAAGAAAGGAGAGCCTTGACCGCGTTGAAGGCCGCCGTCTCCCGATGACCCCAGGCCCAAGGCGTCTTAGTGCTAAGGAGTCGGTGAAGAGGCTCAGCCACTGTGGCTTTGTGGGGCAGGAACATGTTATAAAAGTTCAGCAGCCCCAGGAATGCCTGCAACTCCGTTTTGTTCTTTGGGGTGGGGGCCTGCTGGATAGCGCGGATCTTGGATGTGGTTGGATGAAGACCGGAGGCATCGATAAGATAGCCCAGGAACTCTACCTGTGGAACGGCGATCTGGCACTTCTCCCTCTTTACCTTGAGCCCGGCCTCCTGGAACCTGGTCAGCACGGCACGGAGGCGCTCGAACAGCTGCTGGTGTGAGTCTGCAGACACCAAGACGTCATCAAAATATGGTACCACGCCCGGAAGCCCTTGCAGGAGACGCTCCATAAGGCTTTGGAAGATGCCAGGAGCCACACTCACCCCGAACTGCAACCGGCGGCAACGGAAAGCCCCCCGGTGGGTGACGATCGTCTGGGCTTCAGCAGTGGCATCATCGACTGGCAGTTGTTGATAGGCTTGGGCAAGGTCCAGCTTAGCGAAGACCTTACCCTCACCC